GGAAGTGAGAATATCAATAAGATTGTCCATCAAGTTCAAAGTCGCGTGATTTAACGCACTTGGTAGCGACTCAATAAATTCTCCTAATTTTCCAACGTAAGTAGGATATCACTCCGAATTTAACCAATTTAACCGAAATAACACAATATGTCTCCCAGTAGATCACGTAATCGGTAATTTTTTCACAGCGGTGAACACCAATACAAAACACGTCAAGCCTTCTACGGTGCTCACTGTCATGCATGGCTATCTATCTGGTTGGTTGATTCAGCTGATTTCTTTCGAAAATTTCCCGTGAATGCATCTTGGGTTCGAGGCAATCAAGTGAGACCAAACTCATTTGTTTGTCCGACTTCGCATAGGTATAGTTAGCAGAAGAACCATAACATTAATAAATTCTGTAACGATTTTAATCGTTGAATAGTACACGAGTCCAGATAACTCATGAACTTGGAAGTATAAATTTATACTATAATCAAAGGTCAATATTTATCGGGCAAGACACCATTCTCTGTGAATGTACATCTGAATTCCCATTTCTGAATTCTCTCAGATAAACGAAGTTTTGTCGCAGAAGAATAGCAGCTTAACCGTCCATTTCTTGGGATACTACCAAGAAAAATCGTAGAATTTTTTATTTGGAGGTTAAGAATATACCGTTATGTTAGGCACCTTAGACCAATTTTCGATAAAAATATTTCTAGTCATAATAGACACTTTGAAAAGACGAAAAATTTTTGCGCGCGTAGTTAAATATGCTCAGCGTGAAGCTTTCTATGAAATCTTAATGGATCTGGATGAAATTAGAATCTTGACTCAATAATAGTAATGCGCCACGGCGAGTGTTATCAAAAGTTTTCAAGTCTACTTGAAAGTTTTTAAGTCTACTGTAAATATAACTCAGTAATCACTGCAGTGAGTGACAGAGAGCGCATTTTCTCGTCGACGAAAACTTGAGGTCATGGACGGACAGACGGACAGACAGACAGACGGACATGGCGAGTACAATAGTGCATTTTTTCCATAAATGAGAAAATGCGTTACTACGTACAGCATTCGTAGCGTTACTACGAATGCTGGGACTTGAGGGGACCAATTAAGAAAAATACTCCGTGATAAAACAGGTTTAGATAAAGCACCGAAGTGTTTGAAAAATTCCTTTATTCGTAAACAAACAGCAATGTACAATAGGACTATCACAGCTGAAGGAGGAATGGTTTCAGATCGGACACTCCCTACTCATATAGGAAGCTATAAAGTTGAAATTTTTAGATAGTTTTTGGCGTACATAGATGTTCGAAACATATAAATCCACAGCACGCAGTAGGTGCAAGAAATCTATACCATAAGAAAAAATACGACTACTACTACAAGAACGTAGTAAGATTTGCTCCTTCTTTCAAATAAAACGTTTTCCAGCGACTATTATTTACCGTAACAAACCCTTAACTACTAAGACAGCAGTGGGTAGTTTCACATATATTATTAATTTAAGAAATTTTTGTCGGATATACGTAAAGTATTCATAATGCACTCAAATATCGTCGGGCTTATTTATTTATTTATTATTTTATTCATCGCTGCTTGTGCAGGTGCACGGCAGCAGGAGTCGCCCCGTTCGTCACCCCCACGACTCCAACAGAGGTACGGACGCCAGCGATGAATTCCAGGCAATAAAATTTGTGTTGTTTCAAGTGGCGTTCCAGTAAAATGCCTCTGTCTTTATTTATTCATATATGTATGGTAGATATACATTAATGAAGCGGCAGTAGGATTTAGGAGAGTTAAAAACAATTTCAGCTCATTAAATAATTGTAAGATTTTTTAATGTTCTGCGAACGAACATTAAAAATTATTAAAAATTCGTAAAATTGTTCTGCGAACGAACATTACGAACGTCAAAACACACGTAATTCTAGTTCAATTTCATCAATGGTGTTATCTCTTATGCATGGTTCCAAAAGAAAATGCGGTTGTTTACCATCTATCTCAGCAAATAATCTCAGCGAACCAACTGCAGGCAGGGGACGAGTCCAAGACAGTCATTGAGCTGCTCCGAGGCATTGCCCAGGTAATAATTAAATAGTTGGGCATTCATATTGCCCGGGTAATAATGATAGAGCTGGTCATACATATATCCCGGAAAATAATGATAGTCAAATTTATTATCCAGGTAATAATCATACGGCTGGCTACACGTATGGCCCAAGAAATAATCACGGCACTGCTTCAAAATAAAACTGCTGAGTCCAACAGTGCTTTTTCCTAGTTCTGCATTTACGTGAAGATTCAGCGTAATATCCGGATCTATGTTAAAACAAAAATTCGGACGTGCTTCAAATTAAATGCCCGGATCATATATATTTTTGAATTCGCAGGCTGTACAGTGTATAGTGAATTAACATAAGCTTTTCTCGTGCTACCAGTAAGGTGATATCGACGTTTCTCATCATCTGCTGGGCATTAACCTATGACTTCAGTACGTTTAAAATGATTTAATCCCGTAATTTCGACAAGACTAGCTAACCGTCATCGTCTGTCTGGCAGACCGTGGAAGCGTCAACGTTCCGCTTTGAAGAAGAGGCTGGCAACACGAGGGAGCTTATAGGCAACAAGAACCGGGACACGCTAAATGCCATCAACAGCCTGCTGAAGATTGTCGAGCAACGATTTTGCTCTCCAAACAACGAAACCCTTGCAGACCGTGGAAGCGTCAACGTTCCGCTTTGAAGAAGAGGCTGGCAACACGAGAGAGCTTATAGGCAATAAGAACCGGGACACGCTAAATGCCATCAACAGCCTGCTGAAGATTGTCGAGCAACGATTTTGCTCTCCAAACAACGAAACCCTTGCAGAGTTTGTTCCTGGGAAAGAATCAGCAAACTACGCGGCTTTGTGGACAAATGCAATAGATCAAACTATTGAACGGGTTAACGGCCGAGGCGACCTGCCTCGTCCAAACAGGCAGTCCCACCTAGTGAAAAACATACGTCGAACATCTGTAGCAACAGAAAGAGATGCAACTGCCTTACCACCACCTCAACCTACGTTAGTAGCAGAAAATAATGATAGCTCTATTATAAATGTGCACTACGGGATCAACACCCAACAAACAAGTAGCGTAAACGTTTCGATGGAGAAAAAAGAACTAAATAGCACAGGACCCAAAATTCCATTTTCTCCCAACCACAGCATATCCTCAAAAGGATCCTCAACATCGCCCATCATTGGTTCCGAGTCCGTGGTTCTGAAGGTTTCAAAAACTAAGAGGTACTCATTACCATAACGTTAATACATTTTTCTTTGATTAGCATTACCAAAGTTTTAGCTGACTTTAATTTAATTCCTTAATGTTTTCACTGTCACAGGTTACTAGGATGTCACACAGTGTCCGTTAATGGCATTGTAAGGTTACCTGGCGCATCTCAAACGACCCCTGATGAACAAGCATATTTCGTCAGGTCTGTAACATGCGCAAGCTTTTTCTATTACTTTACCCATTTCTCTGCAAATTTTGTGATAAATCCCGAAGAAAAAGCACCTAAGACTTGTCAAGTACGAAAATATGTAACGATAACGATAAACCACTTTTACAGCACCTTAACCATGTCAGTGACATCAAGAATTCCGCTTCAGGTTTTGCGACCAGTCGTTGCCCGGCAAGGGTTGGACGGTGATCCAGAGACGCGGTCCACCGATGGGTTTTACTGGACATCACGATCCCCTAAATTTCACTCGCTCGTGGGAGGAATACAAAAAGGGTTTCGGGGACCTTAATGGGGAATTCTGGTGGGGAAACGAAAACATTCACAGGTAAGGAGTTCATTGTGTTAAAGCAGCTCCATTCGATTTTCTACTGTCCGTTCGAAACCTAGAAAATAAGAACGTGACANGTTAAAGCAGCTCCATTCGATTTTCTACTGTCCGTTCGAAACCTAGAAAATATGAACGCGACAGCTAATACTTGGTTATTGAATGGATATTCAGAGGTTGAAGAAAATAGGGAAAACACCTGACATTTTGACATCGTAATTTTTGAACATGTTATAACCAATGAAAATGTGACATATTTCCATGATTACGGATATTTTTAGTACATTTTTGTGACTATAACCGAATCTATAACCTATAAACGGTAAACCTCTCTGACTTTCAAAGAGAACCAAATTGTTGGTGCCCGTATGGCAGGTGCTAGTGTGATAGACACTTCCCGAGTGCTTGACGTTTCTAGAGGTACCTACTGTCTCAAAAGTAATGACCTCTTTTGAAAAAGAAGGAAAAACGTCCTCAGCAAAGTAGCGGTCTGGCTGAAAGTCGAAGTCGTTTGAAAGAGATCGTCGGTACCTAAATCGATTTGTGAGGGGCAATCCAAAAACGACGGCTGTTAAAATAACAGCAGACCTGTACGGGCGCCTACAGAACCCAGTTTTTCTAACCCCTGTACAGTATGTGAATAGCATTCCCAGGCAATGTTTCTTAAACAAAATTGAGGTTATTTTAAATATTAAAAATCTACCAGAGCTGCTAGTCATAGGTGAATACATTTTTCAGACTGTCTCAAGAAGAGGACTTGACGCTGAGGTTTGACTTGTGGGATTTTGAAGGCAATCATGCAGTTGCCGAGTACGACTCCTTCAAGTAAGTCCTATACGTGCATCAAACTCTATATTTATTGATTCAGAGGCTGGACATCGATTCATATTTTCAGGACATATTTTGTAAGTAATGTGTCCTCCAATAACGGGATGGACACGACCGTTACTAATCAAAAGGATTCATGGTATTTCTGTTCCCTTGCTGCGATGAAGTCTGCTTTGAATTTCTAAGTAGAAAAAATGGATGTATATCGTCACATAATCCCAATTACAAATATAACAATCTTTGATTGGATCGACCGTCGTGAGATATGCAAGTCTGAGTGCTTAGAAGTGAAACACACAACACTCGATCGGTGCTAACTCTAAGCCCATATACGTGAGACCAATTTCAGAACAGTAACCACATTAACCGACCAAAAAAAAATGAAATCTGTGTCTCGATATACATAATTTATAAGGAGGACCTCACTAAGATTCCTCTTATCATATTTTTCCCACTGTAGACTGGCAAACGAGAGCAGCGCCTATAGGCTGAGCGTTTCGGGCTACCACGGCAACGCATCCGACAGCTTCTCTGCGCACGACAACTTCAGGTTCAGCACACACGACCGCGACAATGACATGGCCCCAGACTGCTGCCCCTGTGCCCCAGCCTATGGCGGGGGATGGTGGTTCTTCAGGTGAATGGTAGATCAGGTAGATTCAGGGCGCCCCAGCCTACGGCGGGGGGTGGTGGTTCTTCAGGTGAATGGTAGATGGAGAGTAGAAACCCGGGGGCTGTGAGGGCGAGAAGGCATTGCAACTGGCTTATTGTAATAACTGGTAGGGAGCTAACAGGAAGTTTTAGGATGAAGTTACCTCTCTATACCCGTTATAATAAATGTGAAAAACACTTAATGCTCTCAGGGGTATAAGAATACTTTTATGCTCAATATAAAATAAGTGTGTAAAAATTAATGGGATGAAGTTACCTCTCTATGCCCGTTTTAATAAATGTGAAAAACACCTATTGCTCTCAGGTGTTTTCATTCATCTCCGTACAATATTAATCATATCTCATAAAGTAAATGATAGAATTCACTTTATAATAATTTTGTAATTGCTATCTGTCGTGGGGTAAAAAGAAATTTGTTCTCATCTCCGTTCAATATTAATCATATCTCATAAAGTAAATGATGGGATTTTTTCGCCTCGTAAGAATTTTGTAATAAAATTAAGACTTTGCTATTCTCTTTCAAATCTAATTCGTTTGGCTTTTACGAAACACGAATTGTTTTGTATTATTCTGGAGTGAACAGGCTGAAGAAAATTAGGTTGAACCACCAATATAGAAAGACGATGCCTGTCTTCCCTGCAATAAAATTCAATTCATCTTTTCGGGCTGCCAATAAATTTTCAAAGATTGCATGACAGCGTCAATGGTAGAACCCTATTTCCTTATCGATTTACAACCCGTTAATGTTATTAGTTTTATCCTTGATGAGACCCAACAAGAGGAATGAATACGAAAACGTTTATAAACGTACAATATAAAACATAGTACATTTCAATGTCTCTTTTATAAGTTGGATCCGTTATATCATGAGTTCTTTCGGAAAATATTTACCTATTAACTTTCGTAAGTTCTTTTTATTTTTCTCATACCTAATGCAGAAAACTCACACTTGTATTCAAAATTTTAATTTTACATTTCAACGTCTCTTTCATAAGTTTGATCCGTTATATCATGAGTTCTTTCGGTAAATATTTACCTATTATCTTTCGTAAGTTATTTTTATTTTTCTCATACATAATGCAGAAAACTCACACTTCTATTCAATTTTAATTTTGTTTAATAAATGACTTGATATGAGGCTTATCGAGCCTGCACGGAGGACAGCGTCACAATGGATCGAACTCGCAGGCCATGGGCCTATTTCTTCAGTGCCGACACTTCTATATCCCGCACTTGACATTCGTGAGGCCCATTTGTTGTGATGGATTTGGCTAGCATCTCGCGTCACGTGAGAATGGGTTCCATAGTGATGCTTAAATTTAGGCTTAAGATGTTCAAGGTTAACAATAATTACTAAAAAACGAATTTGCATCACTAGTCTGCTTAAATTACCAAATTAAGAAAGAACTTAGAATCAAAGAACACATCAAGTAATTTCAAAAAGAAAAAAGTCTAAATTTACAATTCCAGCGCATCAGGAACGATATTTTCTAGCAGACATTGCTTCAGATATGCTGAAAGCCAATCTATACCCCTATACCTTCGATCTGATAGTAACTTATCTATACCCCTATACCTTCTGATAGTAACTTCAACTGGTCAGAGGCGTATAACATTAACGGATGAAGAATTCGAAAGGGACTAACAATTACAACAATTTACGCTGCATTTGGATTCACCATCGAAACATTTAGATATTATACATTAGTTAGCAGCCACAGGTCAGCGTAGTTAGGTGTGAAAGAAGTTGACACGACCGCCAGGTTTATCATACAGAGCAGAACCGTATGAACAGTTAGATAATCTTTCATTGTTTTGGGCAAATTACAATACCATAGGTCTTCAGGGTGCTCTATAATCCAAATGTCCGTATTATTTAAAACAATTTCAAATAAATATATAGTTTCGTTTTCCCTACTATTTTTGAGTTATAGACATTTTACGAATGCGAATTCCTTCTTAAATTTATATTTAACTTATATTACGAATAACAATTAAATTTGCCTTCCCTGTGCAAGACATACGCTAGTTTAAAGCATCCAATTCTAAATTAACAATGCGATTAAAATCGGTCTCGTGAAAACGTTTCATCAGTCTTCGCCGACGTCCGCACTGTTTCAACAGCCAAAATCGACAGAGATCGATGGAAGTGAGAATATCAATAAGATTGTCCATCAAGTTCAAAGTCGCGCGATATAACGCACTTATAAGCGGCTCAAAAATTCTCCTGATTTTCCAACATAATAATACGTCTCCCAGTAGGTCGCATAATCTGTAAATTTTTGACGCGCTGATGTCCTTTTTTTATAGCCCTACGAATGCTGGACCTGAAAGGACGAAGTAAGAAAAAATACTCCAAGATCAAAGAGGTTTAGATAAAGCACCGAAGTGTTTGAAAAATTCCTTTATTCGTAAACAAACAGCAATGTACAATAGGACTATCACAGCTGAAGGAGGAATGGAGTTATCGACTTGACTTGAAATCTTACGCAACTAGCGACTCGTCACTAGCTGTACAACGTCACTAGCTGTACAACGTCACTAGCTGTACAACGTCACTAGCTGTACAACGTCACTAGCTGTCCAACGTCACTAGTGATACCACATTACTAACAATCCAACGTCAACAGCAATCTAACGTCATTAGTGATCCTACATCACTAGCTGTCTTTAGTCATTTGCAATATGCCGGAGTTTTAATTCATACAAAAACAGCATGAAATCTGATATTTATCCTACAAAATGTACGAAAATTAGAAGCAAAACACAACATAACTGTTGCTTATTTTTTTTTACAAACCAAATGTTTTATCCTCCGAGATAATTGCAGCCGAATTCGATAATAAGTTATCACTGCAAATGATTCAGAGTAAGAGCGATAAAATTAATCAAAAATAACATTTAACATGATATTTTAACAAAAAAATAAGAATATTTAATTTAACCGTATTTATTTAGACTTGAAGCATTTGTCTCGTGCGCGCATTGAATGTGTTTATGAGGCGGCCGTACCTCACAAACAGCATTAATAAGAAGCATTGCAGAACTAATTACGATAACCCTGCATTTTAATAATTAATGCGAAATAGATAAGGTTCATAAGAAGTTTGCTTATAACTCTCATCAAGAAAACTAAAGAAATGAACAATCACAACAGATATACATAAACTTCACTTTGTCTTTGATTCACCTCTTTTGTGGTAATAGTGGTAGAATGGTTTATTGCGCTTTATGGTTTATTGAGCCAATTCGCGCCGGAAGTCGAAAACGAACATCGCCAGCAAAATGGAACGTCTCAATTATTGAAAATTTCTCAAATCAATCACTCTCATGGGCCAGCTGCTGAAGCTGACTCGTAAGAAGCGTTAGTAACTCGAAGAGACAAGAAGGTACAGGTGACAAGGAGGGACAGGTGACAAGGAGGGACAGGTGACAAGGAGGGACAGGTGACAAGGAGGGACATGCAGTCAGACATCGCGAGCTCAGTGGTGGAAGGCTCAGAAACGGTGCCGCATTTTCTATTAAAAACAAATTTTTTTTACTGGGCTTGATCATACTTCGGTGACAAAAACTCCGAGGTGACTCGAGTGAATAAGAAAATAAAATATGTCTAATAAGTGAAGACTAAAGAACATTAGACACAGACTTTTCATACTTTAAATCGAATGAAAGAAACTAAAACGAACGAATTGAATGTTATCTTATCATGAAATGCTAATGTGAATACTTAGTCAATCAAAGTCCTGCTCAAGAAATGATTTGAATGACAATAACTATTTAATTTTAGGTCAATGATGGCAATGACTAATTAATTTTTGGTCAATGATGGCAATGACTAATCAATTTATGTCGAAACGCAACTTTCCTGGCAAGACTCGCAAGCTGCACGCGCCTCAGCTGGGCTTATTTCGCTGGAAAATTTACATTAATTTGGAATTCAAAATAATTAATAAATAAACTAACGATTCAGATGTACAGAGAAAAAAAAACTTTGTTCTAGGCATCGTCAATGGTTACAGCGAGACTATAATGTTATACTGCAACATTTTAACATAATTTAATTGATGCTTCCAACATGAATCGTAAAATGTAGAGCTCTACTCTCCTAAGTAACAAAATGTACAGCTATATCCGTGTGAATTGGAAATCAATAGGCCTGTAAAAGTAACCAACATCATTGCAAAAATAGGCAACAAGCAAAATTTGTAAGCAAATGACAATTTGTACAGAAAAAAACGAGATAATTACAGTAATCAGCGATTCAGAACTTGATTGCAGACATAAACAAGAGTAAAAGACAATGGCTTCTTGAATGTCATCAATGAACATATTTTAACTCACTGACAGTGACAGTGACACTATAGGTCACATGGAATGTCATAGAAGCCTCATCTGCATGGACCCAGATTATGGATCTTATTGGCTTCATTACCAACAAGCTTTATTTTTTCTTTATCACTAATGGACGTCATTCCTTCAAGAAATAATTAGACATAATTCACAATATTGCTGCCGTTCACATTTGGCTTCGGTTACAGCGCACGTAGTAAACTTTCTACGTACAACTTTTCTTAACCTAGTTACAATTAATTATAGAAATGGCAGTGTTAGTTACAGAAGGACGAGTTCAGAAGATACTGACCTATAACAAAAAAATATAACTCAGTACTCACTGCAGTGAGTGACAGAGAGCGCATTTTCTCGTCGACAAAAACTTGAGGTCATGGACAGACGGACGGACAGACAGACAGACGGACATGGCGAGCACAATAGTGCATTTTTCCATAAATTAGAAAATGCGCTAAAAATATACATCTTTGACCTCCGTAGACGTGCAACTTCATTGAACTGCAGGATTTATTCGCTGGATAGAGTTTGCAAAAATACAACAGACGTGATTGATGCTACTTATGCCATCATGTGATTATACTGTGAAAATATTATTCAATGATCAAAAATTGATCGCCACCAAAAACCTAATTTCTTAGAGTGCAAGAAATATATAATTTTTTGGACTGAGTATAGGTTCTGCACGGCTGCAGGAGGTAACTCCAAATTTTACAGACGATCAGAGAACCTTAGCTCATAATAAAAAATAACACATAATCAATTCCTAGAAAAATATTGTGTACTGAAAAGAGCGTACCAACAAACGTGATTTGTTACAACTAGTCACGCCGCGAAAAAGGGATGCTTTTCCAGCGTGGGAAACAACAAGAAACTACGGTGTAAAAATTAATCTTTCAACAATTAAAATTTAAGACAAGCAACTAGTATCTCTTAGCCAAGTCTTTCCACTTCTCCCAAAACCTACACAGGCTTTTCCGCTTCTCTACGGTGACGTTCTCACCCACAACGTAAGTCCCCACGTGTGCCGGTGTGGCAAAACTGCGTTCAGGTTTACCAACCTCAACAAACAATGAAAATATCTCCTGCATGTTTTTCACATAAGATTTATCCTCCTCGGACATGGGAAATGTTTCTCGTCTTGGTATATTTGTCGACCTTGTCACACGCTTTCCTTGAAACGAACCGAGAGAGTTGAAATAGAAAGACGTTGGACTACCATGCGGTCGTTCATCTTGGTCTAAATCATCATCTCGAGGTGATTGAAAATCCAAGCGATCACGCCAATATAGAGATTTTTTCTCCGACTTTTGTTGCCATGGTGCCTCGGGATTTGAATTCTCAGATCTTTGATAATTTTCATCAATTAATTCGTCTCTCTGATCGAAAACCGCGAAAATAGCGTCGATGTCAGAGTCCGGGTCGGCGAGAGTGCCGAGCGATGAAGGCCGCGGTCGGGTGGCGATGTAGGAGTAGACGGAGAAGCTGGACTGATGTAGGGACGACGGGTGGCTGGACGATGCGATGATGTGGAGGTGTGGGGACAAGTGATGTGGGGACGTGGACTCGTGGGGACCCTTGGTGGTGTCCCGGGACAGCTGGCCAGCGAGGGATAGGATGGGACACACGAACATCGCGTCGCTGATCTGAAATACGGAGTGAACAATTCAGTCGTGGTATTATACAGAAAATGATTTAAAACAATGAGATAAACACTTTGAAATTAATTTTTTATATATAATGTTGAGGGCTGATTGAGGATTTATTTAAACCTTGAAACCTTTAATAAAATTTTAAACCTTGAAATAAATTTTTTTTATTATTTTCATCAAGTCGAAACATGAAGTAAACTTCTAAAACATCTGAGCTTACAGTTTACACTAGTCATATATCTAAATCTATTAAAAAATTAGTTGAAAACTAATTTATCTTATGAATTACAAGTTACAAAGCATCGTAACCTGCATGCTATTTTATCGGTATATTTATCATGAGTTCTCATTGTAGGCTTTGCGGTCTCAAGCATTAGAATAAGATTATGCGTTCAAAAAATACTTTTTTCAAGACCATAGTACTTCTAAAGAGGCCGGTGTCTCCGATGTTACAAATGTACAATGAATTTGTTAATTTATTTGAAAAAATAATTTAAATTTATTTCATTATTTTATTTGGTGATTCTGTCAATTGATTCACGCATTGTCTCCGACTTCTCCGAAAGGTAGAAGTTTGTTGAATGAATATTGATTATAAGATTTGTAGCAGACAAACAAACAAACAACAAGAGGTGAAGTTAAAGAGAAGTGTTGTAAAATACAGATAACAATAGGGGCAATATGTAGGGTTTCTGCAGTGATGGGCAACCCTCACCAGCGTGACCAATAGGAGCCAAGGATCAGTGATGACGTCACTGTATGCCTCCACCAATCGCCGTGCCTCTTGCAGCGGGAAGCGAGGGAGGGGAGGGGGAGACCGGTACCATGGGGAGTCTAGGGGGAATCTGGTAGAGGGTAAAATATTTTTAAAAGGATATAAGTTTCGATGTTATCCAAGTTTTATTCATCTTGATGTGACATCGTTGATATGACATCGTTGGCGCTCCAAGTATGAACGCGTTCAAGAACAGACTAGATAAAGCTATGGAAAAATATATGTTCAGATTTGAAATGCCTACAGTAGCTCCTTATCGAACCCGGTGGAAGTCTAGTAGCTACTTCAAACAATCGCCAGTCATGAAAAGATCCGGTCAAATGACACGAGTTTAGATCTATGAACAAGGCACGAAAAGTAAGAATCGGCGACAGGCCACATCAGGCCTACACTTCAGCGCCGACATCACTATGTTATGTTATGTTAATAAAAGTGTCATATAACACATCAAAATATAACTTCAACATTATCGACAGCCACAACGTTTCGCAGTGACAATGATCGTAGATTGGAACTGAAAAGCCGAAACCTACACGAAAAAATTAAACTTGAAGTGCAACTGCAGGTTACAAGGTTTTTCAGTACCGGGGTATCAATAACTAATCTCAGTATCACAGTATCAATAATTACNTAAGACACGCAATACAAATTTTGAATATGATTTCAGGGCAATGTTCCACTATACAAATAACAAACGTGAATCCACATAAATCATTTCGTGTTAAGTCCACATTGAAAAAAGTTCAACCTGAATGATTTACATATATTTGCAATTTTCATATATTTCTAAAAAATTTCGGAGGAACAATGTTTGTTTCACAGTGAAGAGTGAAACCAAAATACAATTGAATGTAATAACAGTAAAAAGCAATCTTCCTCCGCTGAAAGACCGACGGTATACTCGAGGTTCATTAGAAATTTATGATCACTAAGCTGAGATTTGTAACATCAATAAGAAAGTTCGTGCCGTGGATGTAGCGAGGCTTAATGGGCTTAACATTACAGAAAAATTGCACTGTGTTATAGACTCGGCGAAAAAATGGAACGGAAGATGAAAATTAGGATGACATAATAGCAATTTTCAAGCAAATAATGACACAATACAAACATGGTTTTTGCAAATAACGTCAAAATAGAAAAATTTTCAAGCAAATAACGACACAATACAAATATGGTTTTTGCAAATATCGTCAAAATACAAAAATTTTTTTTGCCTATTAAGATAATTTTCAGAAGCCTGGAATGAAATGAAAAGTAAACGAAGCTTCTGCTGACCGATCATGAGCGGGATGGTCGGCACCGCAGGGACGAAGGAGATATAGACGCCGTCCGCGACGAGCCAGGGACGCCCACCGTCCCACCGACGATACTCGTCCCCAATGGCGTCCATGAGCTGACGAGGGGCGAGACGACGAAGGCAGGCTAAATTAGAACAGTTTGATGGACGGGCGAAAGAGTCAACGGCGTCCCTCCACTGGACGACAGGGAAGAGGGGCGGGGCGGCGGACAGCCAGGCTCTGTGGACGAGTCCTTTGATGGCCGGGGACGACAGCAGCGGATAGACAAGGCCCGCTCCCGCGCGGTGGGCCAACAGGGTTACGCTTTGTGGGTTGCCACCGAAGTGTTCAGCGTTGCGGGCAACCCACTGGAGGGTTGCGATGACGTCAGAGGCTGCCTGACCCCCCGCTGAGTGGGGGTACACGGCCTCAGCAACAGCAGGGTGGGGCATCACCCCCAAAACCCCCCTTCGAATATTCGGAGTCACGAGCACCATTTTTCTGTTGGATGAAAATCGCCCAAACGCCGCCCGTAGAAGCGCCCGATGCACACCGCCCCCCATCGTCGCCCCACCCAAATAAACCACCACAGGAAGGGGTGAGTCATACCCCAGTTGTGGGGTGAACACGTCCAGGGTGAGGCAGTCTTCCGCTCCCCCCACCACGGCACCCTAGAGCACCGTAAACAGTTACATAACACCAACACGCAGGCAGGTGGTACAACATCACACCAACACGCAGGCAGGTGGTACAACATCATGCAACACGCAGGCAGGCGGTACAACATCTCACCAACACGCAGGCAGGTGGTACAACATCATGCAACACGCAGGCAGGTGGTACACAATGTATTCTATTATCCATCTGAATAAACATAATCATTTATTCAGAAGGAAACTTACAAACAATTCATATTTCACTCGCATTAATGAACACTCCCCTCACTTAACCCTCTTATTTTATATATTAATATTTTAAATTAATTTATAATATAAAGTAGTATTACATTAATATAAATTAATATATTTATATTAATTTATACAATTTTTCCCCTCTTGTTCCCCTTTCCCCCACTTAACCCTCATTAACCCTCTTCCCCTCGTCAATTTATATCCTTTTTACCCTCTTGTTTCCCTCCCCCCACGTCCCCTCACCTGGGGGTCATAGTGCCAGCAGGTGGCGGGTGTGGCGGCGGTGGTGTCGAGGGTGGCGGGCCAGCAGTGGGTGTGGCGGGTGACGGGACGGGCGGGCATGAAGCGGTGGTCGGCGGTGGGTGGAACAGCGTACGGGATGCCTCGGAACTCCAGGTGGCGGTCCACCACCAGCCTGTGTATATGGTCACCCGTCAACATCTTATAATAAATAATATAAAATGATTACAATACGAACCTAAATAGTAATTATTGTGAATAATAAATTCATCAACGATATTATAACGTCATAACTGGGGTTGTGGTGATACATCATCACTATCAATACGACGGTTGTCTAACAATAATACTTGCAAATAGCGGAGATGAACAAGTTTAACAATAAAAATCAGTTCGTTACACGAGAACAAGTTGAACAATAAAAACCAGTTCGTTACACGAGAACAAGTTTAACAATAAAAACCTGTTCGTTACACGAGAACAAGTTTAACAATAAAACCTGTTCGTTACACGAGAACAAGTTGAACAATAAAAACCTAGTTTTGAAAGTATATATGGCCCCTGGTAGTTAACTTAGGAATAATAATGTAATGTAATACTGCCTGGTAGTTAAGTTAAGAATAGTAAAATAATGTAATACTACCTGGTAAACGTAAGAATACATTATCCTTGGAAAAGGGACATAAACTGCTTTGAGCAACTCTATCGATGAATGAAAATAAGAACATAAGAAATCGAATAATTCGATGCAAGATGAAAGTAGTGTCAATTTTTCATCAAGAAACTAATCAATATCAGTTATGAAGTCAGACATATCAGGACAGTGAGGGAAGAGAGAAATTACAATAATGAAGCGAACGAGAGACACGGTACGCAAGAACGTGTAGGACAGAGCAACGGAGATGTGGATTCATATCCATTTTAATATCATTTAAATATCATTTTAATATTCATTTTAATATCATTTTAATATCATTTTAATATCATTTTAATATCATTTTAATATCATGCGTGAGAAAAATGAGGACTCACCCCAAGCCTTGACACGCGGGGTGAGGGTGGGGAGTTTGCCTGCCACCCCTCGCAAGAGGGAAGGTCGGGAGGGTTGAGGGTGGTCCAGGGCGGGGTCCCTAATAACAGGGATGCTGGGGTCAAACAGGTCCAGGTAACACCGGGGTGCTATCACCATCTGGGGAAGAGGGTGGATACTGAGTGATTTATTGCCGGCTACAGCTTGATTGTAATAGAATAATGTGATTGAATAAACGTGGGAGATTAGATGCGTTTCTTATAGGAGAAAGGTAATCTTTAAAAGGTAATATTTGATTGAGTAAACATGGGAGGGATTGCAGGCATTTGCTTATAGGACAAAGAAAGTGAAGATTTACACGTGTGATTTACATTGGTACGCATGGAAGGGAATACTCATTCTAAAAATGCCACGCCCTGAAAAGCCATCGTAACGACTGGAAACGCGGGAAAATTTGGTCGCTCATGACCATACGGGAGCAACACAGAGAAGGAACCAATTGCTGGAATATGAAACAACTTACACCAATATAATGGATAGATCATAGCAGCGATACTCCAATCAAGGGTTATTTTTTGCGTGCCGTCATCAGTGCAAGACCCGACCAACGATATCAAGACTCTTCAAGATTTATCGTACCTTCACCATTATCATCCATATTCTGGTCATTTAAATCAACTATTACGAGATACAAATTAACACAATACCTTCACTACTAGTTATCTTGCTTGCCCCCCAATACCATGAGAGGGGCGCCGTCCCCTCACCTCAGTGGGATGATGCGACCCGTAGCCGCCCAGGTCACGCACCGACGACCTCAGCGGGTCGCGGATGGGGTCAACGAGGGGGTCCCGAAGGGGGTCCCGTAAGGGGTCCCGCAGGGGGTCCCGCAATGGGTCCCGCAAAGGGTCCCGTAAGAGTTCCTTGCAACTGGGATCGTCTCTGTAGTCCAGAGGATCTCTGAAACTGCCGCGCGGTCCTACGTCGTAAGGATCGCCCCCGTTACGCCGCCATCTTGGGTCTCTCGAGGTAGGAGATCCAGGATCTCTGTAGGACTCCTTGTGTAGGAACGCGGTAGGCCTGTGTCCGGCGCCATCAGCACTGGCCACGCGGCTGCCGTTACCCTAAGCAAAAATTGATATTAGAGCATAAATATATTTTAGGAAAATTGTTCATAGATCAAGGTCCAGGGAAATTTCAAAACAATTATTGAACTGAATGAAATCAAAAAAATTATTGGCACATCTCAGCCGAATTTACACAAGCATAACGAAATCTTGGAAGGTTTATTGTTTGTTCAATATTTAATAAACTTTGTAAATAACGATATATTTTTAAACTACTTTAAAATTACTTCATTCTACGTGTGGCATAACATTCAAATTATGAAACGATGAATTATGAGCGCTGCTTTTTTTCAGACATTTCAAATGAAAAAAAAAGCTCAATAAGATAAAGACAAATTGTTCACTCGAGTTTTATTCACCTTAATAACATCGACTCAGTTATAAATGAGATGTTTTTAGTGCATAGGTATCTCATTTATGGAAAAAATCACTATTTACTGCGCTCGCCATGTCCGTCTGTCCGTCCGTCTGTCCGTCTGTCTGTCTGTCTGTCTATCCGTCCGCCCGTGACTTCAAGTTTTCGTCGACGAGAAAATGCGCTCTCTGTCACTCACTGCAGTGAGTACTGAGTTATATTTTTTCGTTAGGGGCCTGAATGCACTAAAGAGATCACCCTACTTTACGCCCCGACAACTCGCGACCAACACGAAAATTTTCATGCTTACAACACGCATCATCTAGCGCGTTCAATCCCATGGGACGCACTATAGGATGAAAGAAATTGCTCAAGCACCTGAAGGATATCTTCCCTGAGGGGAGGAAGAGAAATCACCTGTTTTCTCCTGACGTAAGCGGGGAGGTGGAGTGAGGGTAGGCGTGAGGGAGAAGAGTGTTGGGGGAGACGAGGGGAAGAAGATCCTCCCTCTCTGTCGTCCCCTCCACTTCCCCAACTGTAGCGCGCTCCACGCTCGGCCATCACCTGCCACCGCGACCTGTGGGGACGAGTAACAATCAGCAACACCATGAGAATAAAATAAAAAAATGATTAGGGACTTTAATAAGTATTATATCAATTTAAATATCACGTGGAGACGACATACGAGTAACCATCAGCAACCGCATAAGAATAAAACACAATAACGATTAGGGCACTTTTATAAGTATTATATCAATTTAAATATCACGTGGAGACGACATACGAGTAACTATCAGCAACACCATATGAACAAAAGAAAAGAATGATTAGGGCACTTTAATAAGTATTATATCAATTTAACTGTCACAAGGGTTGTATTAATTAAGGATTAGGGAATGAGAAGAGGTCGGCTGAGAGGTGTGAATTGGGATGAAGAAGCAGCCATAGCCAGCATTGCGATGCATGGGGCATGCATGATTGCCAGGCGAAATTTTTGGACAAGGTCTGCTACATCCCGCACCTTCCTCTATTTTTCTCCCACCCTTACTCGCGTAGGTAGGAATAGCCCAACATGCAAACACGAGTACAAACAAAGGTTGAGAAGCCTGGGTAACGCAGGATAGAAATGAACAAATAGAGTGTGTGCGAGATTTGCTTTGTTCAAATGATAAGAAAAAAATCGGCATTGTATCCTTTCTGTGCAGTGAGAAATGTTGTCGACATATTATCCATCAACATGGAGTTTATATGCATGGTAGCCATGTAAATGGTTGTTGTATATAACATATTCGGGTGTTTTTGGTTTTATTGCTAGATATTAGGTAAAGTTATAAATTTCACTTTCAAGACCTAAGAAATCACGGTGCCATTTTACCTTAATAATTTCGGGCATCGCAGCATTGATCACATAGCCTGGAAAGTTGGTCAATAAGTGTCATTGCACCGACATGATTACATGTACTTTCAGTCTTATAGTAAGAGAACAATAACAATAAGATGGCTAGATTAGCCCCACGGTGAGTGTCTACCGATGTGTAATGTGTATGCTGTTAAGAATTTAATACAGTTCCGTTGTGTTGCATGAATAGAATAAATAAATACAACAGGTAAACAAAAGATACAATAACTTCTCCTTTGAACTTTTGAACTCCAAATATGGTCATAAAAGAGCCTTCGGTTGTCAGATAGCATCAACAAGAAAAAAAGCCCTTGCTTCTTCAAGTAGAAGGTAGAGAACGTCTCAACATGTTTTGCCTCTTACAGTACGCAAATAATTTTTTGTTGGGAATATATTACACTTAAAAAACCAACATAAATAGAAAAGTAGAAAGTAGTGAACGTCATAACATGCTATGCCCCCTTACTGTACGCAAATAATTTTTTATTGGAGATATATTATATTTAAAAAAGCAAACATACATAGCACATGTGCTGCATGAATAGCTTAATATTTTTTATCTATTTAGGACCGAGGCGCAGAGTTTGGATTTCATGAAGGTTCCTTTTTAATTAATAGCGCATTACTTGAGGCGGAAAGCATTGATTTCAAGGAGACCTTATACTTGATCATCATGCAGTTGTCTACTGTCGCTGAGGATTAAATACTGTTCATGCAATGGCTTTATTGAATTAAATTCTCATTATAACCACAATACTGTTTATGCTTGAATTACAACGCAAGAGAAGCTCGTGCCGCGTGATTGTATAGGGTAGGCGACAAGTAGTGAATTAAAATTTGTACGTTGTTACAACGGAGAAATATTCAGACTATACAAATGTGTACGCAAGTGTTGAGACGCTAAGCTCGACGAAAAAAAGTTTTCTATATTCACGTGATATTGTCTGGACACCAGGGCCTATACTTTCAAAAAACGTTAAGAGATCGTAAGTTCGTCAGCCAATCATTGCCGGCCTTTTGAGCAAAATCCACCAATCATAGACAAGAAATTAGAGCGTAAGTACTTACGTTCACTTAGCGACTTTTGAAAGTATGGCCCCAGCAAGTTAAGTTGTTAATTTGAACGCCATTAATTTTATTTTATTTCACGGCACTTAAAATAAAAAATTCATACATTAATCAAATTAATGGATGAGGGTGAATGGCATTAATTTTGGTGAGTGGCATGGCTGCATCGCTCAAGCAAGATGAGTGATTTGCTCGTGCCACGCAGCCGCGAGATGAGTGTCTTTGCTGCGCCACGCCCCATGCATGCAATAACAGAACATGATACTCAACCAATGTTGAGTCTTGACTCAATCAATGCCTGTAAATAACTCGGCGCCAAAGCCGAAGATGAAATTTCTGTCGAGGTCTCGCAGTATGCGATCTGTGTCGGCCTCTAAACCGTCCCTAGGCAAGGTACTCCCCACGGAACCAGAACATGGATTTGAGTGCTCAGATAATTGCAAAACGTGACCATGCACAGTCAAGAATTGAATGAGGTGGTGTTTAGAGTTGAGGAAAATGCACCAGAGCAACACGAACGCCGTAGAGTTGGGGGACAGTGTGCCAGAGCAGCACGAACGTCGCAGAGTTGGGGGACAGTGTGCCAGAGCAGCACGAACGTCGCAGAGTTGGGGGACAGTGTGCCAGAGCAGCACAAACGTCGCAGAGTTGAGGGACAGTGTGCCAGAGCAGCACAAACGTCGCAGAGTTGGGGGACAGTGTGCCAGATTATTTAAAAATAACTAGAATAACGTTTTTTATGGCTGATCAATGCCAACGATAGGTCGGTGTCAGTGGTCGGTATCACTTGATGAATTAGTAAGACAGTCAGTAATTTCTGTGCCGCAGCAGTGGTAATTGAAACACTCATTATATCATCCATGAATGAAACGCTAAACACGGGAATAGGCGATGAAGAATGTATTAGAAAGTTCTATCTAGAATAACACGTATCAACGGACATCAACGGACGCTGATTGGTACCAACCGCAAACAATCGTCGCTTCAACGAAGACTGATGGCTGTTAATGCAAGTGTCAACAAATTCGCGATTAGCGCCACTGCGAGGAGTCAAACAACAGTCGTAGCCAACAATTTCAGAAGATAAATTAAGCGCTTTTATTAATGTTGACACGTATTATTATTCGTCACAAGTTGTTTAAATTCTAAGAAATTATGAAGCATATCAGTAATTTGAAGTGCCCGAGGTAGCGTAAAGTTACAAGAACGCGTAGGGCGCGACGTAGCCAGCCCCCTGAGGCTCAGGTTATGTGGCAGCAACTCAAGCGTCGTCGCCGCTGTTCAACCTCCATGACATGGTCGTCGGTGCGACAACTTCACTCTTATATGTACAGCCGCTTATATAACTGATAATTAGTTGTGCCTTTATGGCAATATGGGTGAACTTTAACATGGGCACACTGCCTCTTAAGGAGTTCATTGGTCTTTATTACAGGCCTGTTGAGAGCGTTAATGTGTGTTTTTACCGGCCTGTTTAGCGCGTATGTTTTGTTTTTATTGCAGATAAGTTCATAGCGTTAATTGTACCTATATTTCAGACAAGTTTGTAGCGTTAATCGTGCCTTTATTGCAGACAAGTTCATAGCGTTAATCGTGCCTTTATTGCAGACAAGTTCATAGCGTTAATTTTGCCTTTATTGCAGACAAGTTCATAGCGTTAATTGTGCCTTTATTGCAGACAAGGTCATGGCGTTAATTGGGCCTTTGTTGCAGACAAGTTCATAGCCTGTCTCTTATACACATCTAGATGTGTGTAACTTTATGGCAGTATGGGTGAACTTTAACTTTATGGCAGTATGGGTGAACTGTAACTTTATGGCAGTATGGGTGAACTTTAACTTTATGGCAGTATGGGTCAACTGTAACTTCAAGGCAGTATGGGTGAACTGTAACTTTATGGCAGTATAGGAGAACTGTAACTTCATGACAATATGGGTGAACAGTAACTTAAGGGCACACTGCCTCTTAAGGAGTTCATTGGTCTTTATTACAGGCTTGTTGAGAGCATTAATGTGTCTTTATACAGGCCAGTTCAGGGCGTATATTTTGTTTTTATTGCAGATAAGTTCATAGTATAACGCGTATAAGTTCATAGCGTTCATTGTGCCTATATTGCAGACAAGATAATAGAGTTAATTTTACCTATATTGCACACAAGTTCATAGCGTTAATTTTGCCTTTATTGCAGACCAGTTCATAGCGTTAATTGCGCCTTTGTTGCAGACAAGGTCATAGCGTTAATTTTGCCTTTATTTCGGACCTAGCTGTAAAATTACAATAGAGTTTAAACTTTTACAAATGAAAAATGATCATTTCCTTACATTTGACTTAGGCCATTCTCACATTCTCTCATGCAAGATGGGTAACGGATATAGTGGGAAGTGCGAAGGGAACAAAGACCGTCAACGCTGATCAGATGTTATAAAAAGATCCAAGTAAGTAGACAAGTAATAATAGGTCGTAATATTATATGAAAGTTTATTAATAAACGCATGAGTCTACACATCCCTTAGCGCGTGTCATCAGCCACACACCTTGAAAGATCAGACATGGACGTGCATCAAGAATACTTGATAGCGACAGAGGGAGAAAGTTTAGGCCCATATAGCTAAGAAGAGGCCCATATAGCTTAGAAAAGGCCCATAGCTTCGAGAAGGCCCATGCATATAGCTTAGAGAGGGCCCAAGTAGTTTAGAGAAGAACCATATAGCTTGGAGAAGGCCCATATAGCTTAGAGAAGACCTATGCATATAGCTTGGAGAAGGCCCATATAGCTTAGAGAAGACCTATGCATATAGCTTAGAGAAGACCCATGCATATAGCCTGGAGAAGACCCATGCATATAGCTTGGAGAAGGCCCATGCATATAGCTTGGAGAAGGCCCATATAGCTTCGCGAGGTAAATAAGCGGAGACCTTTTAGTGCGAATGATGGAAGTCGCTGATTCTCACGGTCGAGCAAGTTTTACTTAAGTAGAACCATCGCTTGGAGTACAAGTAACCAATGCAAGGCACAACCTTAACCAGGGGCGCCTCTCAATCGGAAAGTTCATAAGGGGAAGAAGCTTAAAAAAGCGATCAGTAGGCGCGCCAGTTGGATATTGTGAGCTG